GCTGGGACCACAGGCGCCCGCCACAATGCCCGGCCATTTTTTGGTTGCAGCCATCATTGTTGTTTGGCGGGCCCAGGCTGGGGATTCAAACCCACCACCTTAGATGTATGTGGCTGGCGTCTTAGCCTCTTGAGCCACAGGCGCCAAGCCCTTACATGCATTTTAAAACCAAATGGACTGAAGAGATGAATATAACTTCTATTACTTGTTCACACACTGATCTTTCTCACAGAGGTGAAAGTCACAAACTTATATTGATATCTATCCTTTTCAGGAGGCTGGATCAAAATTACATATATTCTAGTGGATTAGATATTTATGAAATAAATTTTGCCAATTCCTATGACCCTTAGAATTCTTTCACACTTTCTAGAAGAGTTTAATAAAGTCCCTGCTTTTGCCTGCAAACTGTCCCGCCTTCTCCACTCTAGCGTGGTTTGTGCAGCCTTAATCCCAGAGTATTGCATCATGCCTCTTGAACCTTCATACTACCCTCCCTCGGCTCTGGTTTGGCTCTTCCAAAAGGAACACAAAGTACTTTACACTATAAAGCTGAGCTGTTTACAAACTAGAACTCTGATTTAGAAGTAGGGGGGAAAAAGTCAATATATACCTTTGGCCAATGACTTAACTATATTTCTTTAGCTGTTAAATTCAAATAATTTAGTGACTATGCAGAATATTTTTTTAAAAGCTTTTAAACCCAGAATATTTAGTATTAAAAGATGAACTTGGCTAGGGGTGATGGCTCACACCTATAATCCTAACACTTTGGGAGGCCAGGATGGGAGGTTTGAGGCCAACAGTTTCAGACCAGCCAAAGAGAAGAGACCCTCACCCCTACCAAAAACAGAAAAATAAGCCAAGTATGGAGGTGTGTGCCTGTAGTCTCAACTACTCTGGAGGCTAAGGCAGGAGGATCACTACAGCCCAGTAGTTTGAGGTTGCAGTGAACTATGATAAGGTCACTGCACTCTAGTCCTGGCATCAGAGACAGACTCTGTCTCAAAAAAAAAAAAAAAAGTTAGACTTATTTCCATATGTTTATCTTCTAAATGGCCATGTCCTCCTCTTCAGGACTCTTAGTAAACCACCTGACAACTCCTGTCTCCCTCATTTTGAGGACCAACTCAACACCAAGTCTCATTAACTTTACTTCCTAAACCCCACTCAAGTCCATCCAGTTTTCTGTATCCACAGTCACCACCCTCCTCTAAAATATCCACCATCTTCTTGTGGTACTTTCTCTTAACGCAGTTCTTACACCCAGCTTGAGCCCTGCAACCAGTTCTCCCCACTGCACTGCTGTCACCACACCTTAAAACTGCACTGAGATTAAAGTCCTACACCTTTACCAAACCAGAAGGCTCGTCCACCTCTCCACCCTCTCTCCTTGCTGCCTAAGCCACGGTTTCTTGAAATTCAGGACTCACCGATACCAAGGGCTATCTTTCTCAGATATTCTTCTGACTACCTCCCAAACTAAGCCAAATCTCCCATCCCCTCCTCAATTTGTTGAGCTTAACATTAAATGCTTCATAGTCCCACTTATCTTTTCCTTAAATCACTTACCACAATTTCAATTTTGTATTACCTTATTGTCTTCCTCACGAGTCTGTTTCCCCTGAAGCGGGAAACAAGACCAGTTTATTCATCATAATGTGCCTGGCACAATAAATAACAGTTGATTTTCCAGATTCCTCTCTCTACCCTGTGTACTTTTCTCTGATTAATTCCTTTCGTAACATATACTTGAAACTGAGCCTTCTCAGTAGGAAAACTTATTTTACTTCCTTCGTTTTAGGCCACGGAACCTACAACAAATAGAAAAGGAAATGCCACAGTGGTCTCCACTAAGGCCTGCTCTGGCGGCAGCAGGGAGCAAGAAAAACCTTCTGTCCAGCCTCTCGGGCCTCAACCCCCGAGCCGACGCACTAGCCCAGCTCACCCCACGGGAGCCGGACCCGTGCACAGGGGAGCTGGGGCACTTCCGGGCGGAGCTGACCCGGTCACGTGTGGCGGGGCGGCCACGCCTCCCGGGGAAGAAGACCCGCTTCACGCCTTAGGCAGAGAAAGGACGAACTGCGTGCACGCACAGGTGGGCTACAATGGCAGACGGGGACCAGACGGGACGTGGGTATCAGCGGGACCTGCGACCCTAGGAGGTTCGGGCGGCAGCCTGGGCCCGAAGACGGTTTTTCAGCCCGGCCAAACCCCTTACTCCGCAGCAGGGCCTGCGGGACCTCTCCGCCTTCCGCCCGGGCGGGAAGGAGTGGCCTTGACCTTCCAAGAATGCGACTGTGCCAGTGCCACCCCCTCCGCAGGGGCGTCCCCTAAGACCAAGTCCTCCCGCGGCAGGTGCCCTCATCGCTGCATGCCCCTCACCTTCAGTATTACCAGTCCTGGGGTCAGCGATTTGTAAGGTCTGACAGAGGAGCCAGTAAACTTGTTCTCGAGCGAGACTCCTTCGCTTTCCGTAGTGGGCGGGGCTTCGACCCGCGTCCTTTAAAGGAAAAGTGACAGGGGAGCGGTGCTTTTCGGCTGGCGAGATTACATTCCTCCGACAAAAAATGTGGAACGCTCTGGGCAGATTTCCCGTAGAGAAATTACGGCTCTCCTGGCTCCCGCCGCTCCAGCTGGGGCTGAAGTGAAGATGTTGCGTTTCTGCAGCAATCAGTGCCTCCTTTCCTCCAATTGCATTAACGCCAGTCTCGGTATGGCTACGTCTCCCGCTAGGACTCATAATATGCTTTCGTAAACGTCGTTTTTATTTAATAAAATATTCAATATTTAGCCAAATATTTAATAAACATCTTTTATGATTGCGAGTAAAAGAGTACTGCCCCGACATGCAGTGGGCAGACGGAACCGGGTGTAAAAGGCTTCCTTCGGTTCGCGGCCTGCAAGCTCTGGTTCCTCAGATGGGACCGGCGGGGCGGATTCAGGTCACGTTCTCATTGGGAGAGGTTCTAACAGATCGTCATTTGACAAAGGGGAAAACCCACGCGGAGTGTTTAACCCGCTTGCCCAGAGTCCCAGTAGAGCCACTTGTAAAACTAAGTGCAGTCGTGTGCCCCTGGTTTCTCTCCTGCCGTATTTTGGGGGCGACCCCGGGGCCACAAGGCTGCTGACTGCTTTTTCCTTCGAATTGGTATTAGCCACCTCCTTTGCAATAGGAAATTCCTCGATAGTGGGCAAGAATCTGCAGTCCCAGTTTAGTGAAGCCACCTAATCTGGGAATAGTTTGATTACTTGTATGAAGAGAAACTGTTAACATATTGTCTTATTTAGTTTTCATAAATAGGTCCTTGAATCAGGTATTAACTTCTTTTATTACAGACGACGAAACTAGTTCAGCCTTAAGTATCCCTTGAAAGCAAAGACCAAGTCTCGGTTTCCTCATCAAGTCCACAGTGGCTGGCCGCCTTGGCACTCACCATTAAAATAGTAAGATGGTAAACCCTGAAACCACTCCATCACCTAAAGTTCAGGTCTCCATGTTGGCCATTTCCACGTTAAACGAGAAGGATTAAAGATTTATTTTATTCTGCAAATCACTTTTTAATACCAAGATATAAGTTCATTTGATATAGATACCAGGATAGACTGAGTACCACAATACTTTGGGAAATGTTAGGTGCTCAGTAATTATAATTGCCTGCATCTATTATTGCTTTTACTTATGACTTTGACACTGTTCCAAGTACTTAACATATATTAATCTATTTACTCTTTAGGACAACCTTATGATCTAGTTACTATTATTGCCCATTTTACAAATGAGGGAACTGGAGCATAAAAAAATGAAGTTGTCCAAGATCACACAACTAGTAGACTCAAGATTAAAAAATAAGAATCCTAGGCAGTCTGGTGCTATGGTAGGTGCTTTAACCCTAAGTGGTTCCTTGCTGCTAACATAGTCAGTGAAGCAGTGAAGTTATAAGTCCTCAAAAACAATAAATGATGTGAAATGTGTAAAAGTAATTGAGGCATTTAGTACCCAAACTAAGGGTAGTAAAATTGGTGAGATTATGATATGAATAAATGCGCACCAAGTAGTCACTGGTAACCGAAGCTACCTGCCAGCATCCATTTGTAGCCCTTTTTGAAGGCAGATGTGTTCAGAGTAGGTAGTTTGGGAAACTTTCTAGCCTGCCATTGTCAGATGTCTCCGCATCTACCAGATGTTGGGTTATTATCCCTGGGAGGAAACAGGCAGAAAAGAGACAGACAGTACAGACACGCTGGCAGACAGAGAAGAAGCCAAGTTTTTTGTTTTTTGGTTTTTTTCATCTTTTCCCTTGAACTCTGCTTTGACCTCCAGCCAAAATGGGACTTCACAACTCTTGAAAAGTCATGGAGGCCTGGCACTGTGGCTCACACCTCTCATCTTAGCACTTTGGGAAGTGGAGGCGGGTGGTTTGCCTGAGCTCCCAAGTTCAAGACCAGCCTGAGCCAGAGCAAGACCTCATCTATAAAAATAGCCGGGCATTGTGGTGGGCATCTGTAGTTCCAGCTACTTGGAAGGCTGAGGCAAGAGAATCGCTTGAGCCCAAGAGTTTGAGGTTGCTTTGAGCTGTGGCTAGAAAGTTTCCTAAACTACTCTGAACACATCTGCCTTCAAAAAGGGCTACAAATGGATGCTGGCAGGTAGCTTTGGTTACCAGCGACTACTTGGTGCGAATTTATTCATATCATCATCTCGCCAATTTTATTACCCTTAGTTTGGGTACCAAATGCCTCAATTACTTTTACACATTTCACATCATTTATTATTTTTGTGGTTACCAAGGGTAACAAAGTGAGACTTGGTCTCAAAAAAAAAGAAAAGTCATTGAGAGCCTTGGGTTCAGCTTGGTGGTGGCAGATTTTGAAGACTCTGGGATAAAGACTTTTTGGTTTGGGAAAGCAATATTATTATGCCATAGATCTATAAACTGTCTGATCTGTTATGTGCATAGAACTCTTAGACACATATAGAGCTTTCCCAATTCTTATTTCTGCATGTAATTTACCAAAATACATACTCAGACTCAAATCCTGGTGACTCTAAAACTTCTAGACTTTCCACCACATTGTAATTTCCATGGCAGGCCTGTGAAGTTTCTCATTCTATACATATGTATATTGAATGCTCTGGTGAAGTATTAGTGGAAATATCCTGTCCCTCTCCTTGCCTATGAGCTTTCAAAATCTTTTCATTTTTCCCAGATGCAGAGGGAACCTTCTCAAATGCAGAGGCATATGAGACTCAATTGCTTAGGCCAAGGTCCCTGGGGCACAGTATATCTGTTCCACAAAGAAATTAACTATACTGTGGATGATTTAAGAGGTTATTGACACTAGGGTGTATCTTCATACTGCCAAAATAACTATATTAATTAACTTTAAAAGCAAATTGGATATTAATAAAATTCCCGAGTTTATTTTGAAGTTATATAGATGTTACAAAGCCTGTGTGGGTTCAGATATTCAGAAAATTCTTCAACAAGTAGTTGTTTGTGGATTATAGTTAATTTATATTATTCCCCCCAATAAGATTATAAGATCCTTTCAGGGCTAAAATAGGGAAGTTGAGGTTTATAATACTTGAGGCAACAACTAAATCGAACTGAAAGCAATCACTTTAAATGGCTGCAACTTTGTCATTACAGTGCCGAGTCAATAACTGAGTGGATCCTTAGCCTGTGTTTACAGACTTGTCAAAAGGGTCTTTAAGAGCCAGGCACAGAAAGAGGCTTTGGCTGAGTGTTAGGTAACTTGTTCAAAACTTCTGTAGATACTCTCAGCCTGATGGCATGTGTCTGTTATTATAAACTATTAAAACTAAAAGCCTTCTTCCAGAATCTCTACCATCTACCCTCAGGAGGACTGCGATTAATCTATTCCATAGGTGTAAAGATCTGTATATTTTAAAAAACAAAACAAAAAACTCCAGGCAAGGAAATTTAGCTCCTTGTTTCCGTGTTTTATAAGACTTGGGAATCTCTTCCTTTACATAACCTAAATCCATCGTGTTGCTGCTTAGAATGGCTCTGCAGCCGAGCTAGAGGACATCTGTGACCACATCTGTGCTCTCAAACTATTATTAGATTCAGAATAAATTTCTTTACCATGTAAGATTTCTCATAACATTGGTCTCCAAATTAATAACTTCTCTTGTCAAAAAATGATGGCATCGATTATTAAAACATGGTGGTTGCAAATGAGCAAACTAAAATTTGTCTAAAGTGACGTATTGAATTTTTAAAAAAGCTTTTATGTCTGCTAAATGAAAGTATTTGTATATGGAAGGTCCATTTATCTTCTGTGAAAAGTGGATGAAGCAAAAACTAAGTTCGGAAGTCTCCTTTGGAGAAACAATAGAACCATGTGTTTCTGTTGCAAAGGTGTTGAGTTTGGGGTGATTCACTTAACTCTGGTCATTTTGAAACACTTAATGAAAATAATTTCTATAATTATGATAGGATGCCACACAGAACAACAAGCAAGTATATGAAAGCTTACAAAATGTGCCAGGTTTACTAGGGAAATCAAGGCAAAATGAGACCAAGTTATTAGTTAGCATTTTATATTTAAAATACAAATTTTTGCTATTTCTAAATACCCGCATGATATCTTCTAATTACGAGGCTATTTAAGGAAGGCAGGACTGACAGCAAGTAGAATGACAGTGATAACTTTGTACTTTCACTGTTTCTCATTTTTGAAGAAAACAGAATTAAAAGCAAATAACTCCATTTTGAAAAGTTCCTCAAATGTGGAGTTTTACATGTTTACTGTATAGGGAAGACTTTCCACTGTACATTGGAGTCATTGTTTTGCTGCTTTTTTGCCCTAAAAGTTGCTAGGTTCTGCTGCAAAGATTTTAAAAGCTGCTTTGTTGGCAGCCTAGGACACATCCATGACCTTACCAAAGTGGAAGTGAAAGCTCTTAGTTTTTCTTTC